CATATACATATATATAGTATATGAACAATGATTGTATATGTATGTTTTTTCATACACTGAAGTATGATAAAACTTCTTCCACCTACTAGTGGCTGTACATTTCACAGTTCGTCTGGCTGTAAGGACAGAATGCGCGTGCGTTTATACTGAAATGTATACGACACACATGCACATATCGACTAATGTATGCGTTTATCTCATAAAAAAACAATCGAAGATATACAGGTACATGTTATATAATGCATTGAACTCCTTCCATTGAAACCAGCTATACCAAGTAACGTAAATAATGACACTCATATATATTCATTTTGTATTTATAATATATATTCAACATTTTGTCTCAAGCCACACATACACTCAAGCTCACTCATAGGCACATGAACTGCTCACTCACCTTCTTATCAACCAGGTACAAGTCAATGCCTACGCACACTCCTTCAATGGCCATATCAGCTTCATTGTCTGCCGTTGTAGTGGCCTGTGCATCACTGTCACTACTGCTGTCACTGTCACTAGCACTATCACTACTACTACTACTACTACTAGGTGACACAGCTGCCGCTGGAGTAGACTTCTTCGCTGCCTTCGTTGTTGCCTTGACAACCGACACTTCTTTGCTTATAGATTCAGCTTCAGATTCAAATTCACTATCACTATCGTTGTCGCTGCTGCTGCTACTATCACTATCACTGCTACTACTACCGGCATGTGGTTCTATCTGCGTAACACTTTTCTTGGGTACTATGTCCTGTCCTTTGGATGCCTTGGATATACTTTTGAACACATTCTTCTTATTCTTCCCGTTCTTCCCTTTCCTAACATATTTCTCGTCCTCACTGTCACTACTATCACTGCTACTGCTATCACTACTTCCACTGCTACTACTACTGCTGTCACTACTGTCTGACTCCGATGTCTCAGCTTTCCGTTTTCTGCTAATCTTACTTTTCGCAGATGGTTTCACTTTCGATACTTTACTTTTACTTCCTTTCTTATCCGACGTTGCCTTCACTTCAGAAGCCTTTTTATCTTTCTTGGTCGTCGCTTTACCTTTCTTCAATTTTTCAACTACTACCACAGGCACAGTGTCTTTCGCTTTCTTGTCCTTCTTGTCCTTCTTGCTTTTCTTCGTTGTGCCTGTCTTGGATTTTTTCTCTGTTTTCAAGACGGCTACAGCCAATCCAGCTTCTGTGGCACTTCGTTTCGCCATAGTGTACAATGTATATATGATGATTACTATAAGCGTATGATTATATACGTATGTAAATGTTTTTAAATATACAATAGCTTGTTACGTCTGCAGAAGAGATTGCTAGCAATCAGATATCATCATACAATACTGTACAAATGTATTATTTTAGTGAACTAAAAAATGTTATAAATAATATTTTTAGGGTTTTAGCGTTTGTCGCCGCAACTGGCCACGTGAATCCCAATAAACGGTTTTCTAAAACCGTTAACGGATATGTTTGCATGTACGCGATCACGACTCATTCACAGCGATTGTTTATAACTATGAGACATAGCAAAATATCTGTTCCACGTATCAAGATCAAAATGGTATTAATCTTTCGGTAGATGTGCTATGTCTGAGTAACTACTCATGGGAAGATTCTATCAAACCGCAGTGGCACTCGATGCTTTTCATTCGTTTATATAGGTCGCATCGACAGAGGATAGTGCAACTTGCTCAGATTATTGTGCGATAGCCTCGATAGTTAGACAATCAGTAACTACCTAGAAAGCCGCTCACGAGGTTTATTACAATTTGCTGACAATTTTGTAATATCAGTACTCCGACAGAGCTGCAACTCAGAATTCTTGGACAATTCCCAAAAATAGAACTGTAAGTTCCAATAATCATGGCTGCTGTTGATTTCCGACTGAGACAGTTCAATTTTAATAGTTATGTAGCTGTATATTGCCGACAGGCTGTCGTTAACAGTGTACTATCTCAGCGGTACTGATTGATCCCATGAGATGCCCTGAATCACCTTCCACGTATCAGAAATAAACATTTTAAAAGTGAAGTAAATATCGTGCCAAGCACAAAATCTCGAGTATTCAGAGCAGGAGCGCAAAATGGAATAGGCACATCCCTATTCTGTCCGTCCGAAGAACAACTGATCCGCATTCCTGATTTTTGCCAATACAGTATACGTCTACAGCAGGCACGAATCCGAATCTGTCGAGTTCCTTCCCACAGTCAGATAAACTATAGCGGTGTGCAAAAGCATATAAGCTATCGCAATGTGTGGACCACCGTTTGTCTCCTAGATACTGGTTGCTACTGCCTGCCAAGATCTCATACAATGTAGATCATAGCCCTTGTCGCCTTGCATACACGTGCACCTGTCAGCTAAGGCTCATGGCCTTCATGTCATGGCCGGTGTCCGCCTTAGCTGTGCCCGTGTCGGAGAACACTCATACAGAGCGAATTGTAGCATATTTCCATGCGTGTATGCGTGTTATAATCCATTCCAAAGCAGAACAACTTCCGCATTCACCAGTCACTGTCTTGACTGCCGTGTAGGGGAGCTGGTTGGTACAGTCGACCTATGATCGCATCTCTCTCTTTGTACACGGGCGTGCTGTCTCACTTGTCTGTAGTCAACACCCTCGCGGTCGTTTCAGCTCGGGCAAACCTACATAGCTTCTTTGAGTCACAGATAACCTCCTGTTGGAATAGAATGTCGTAAGCCCGGCTACCCGCGCGATAGCTTGTATATGTATAGGCGTCAACCGCCACGCTGGTATGTTTAAATATCTTATACGAACCTGGGCAGCCACTAGCCCAATTTCTGGGCGCATCGGCGAGAGTAAATATACATGACGGCACACGTAGCCCGTTCACTGGGTACTTTGAACCTGGATGGGTGTACCAACCGCGCCCGCACTCCCTCAAGAGCTTGTGAACTTAAAATGCTCCCCACATCTGTGTTGTTTGGGATAGGTAGCTAGCACACGTGTGCGATGGCATCGTCGACCACCAATCACAGATCGGTGTCGAGGACGTCACACCCTGAGTCATGTTCCTTTGTCATACAGCCCTGCTAAATGGTCCATGGCATTGTCATAAGGAGCAGGCGTCACTCTCCACATCTCCGTCCACACTTCCGTGGGTTCTGCCGCGCAGTAGCAGATCAGTATTCAGTACCTCACTCAGCGTCAATCCTTGTTTGTTAGTGTAAAACATATCGTCCTTCACTTGCTGTTTACTCTTGAACCCCTGTATACTGTCGTTTTCAGAACTGGCCTCGTTCTCTGTGCCATCTATATCTTTGACCTCCCCATCGAGCTCGATGCCGTTGCTAGACAACCTGCTGTTAGGCAACGACCGGACAGGTTCCAGCACCGGGAACAGTTCTGAACTGGATACCTCTTCGTGCAACCAGTTAGGTGCGGCTATTATTATGCGAGAGCAAATATATGTTAGTAATTTTGTAGTGGTTGGTGATATTGAAAGTATGCTTTATACGTTTATTGGTGAGCGTACATACACGTGTATAACGCGCACGTGCACGCCATACAGCGAACGACGTGACAAGAACAACAGAAATCAAAGAACAAATCAGTAAGCATACAAGAACAGTGGACAGACGGGAATCACCTACCCAGCTTAGCCTTTGTGCCTTTATTCTCTACACTCACCCTGCGCTTAAGTGGCGCTTTCGTCTGTGGGTTGGCGGCAGATTTGCGCCTCTGCCTCGCCAAATAAGGCGACTTATTTGGCGTGACATTCGTTCTGTGACGGATCAAGGTCAAATTCGGCTCCTCCACTCGCGGGTGTGTAAATCCTGAGGGGGTTCTCTCTGACGTTGACCCGAGCTGTGTAGCTGAGATTGAGTGGTCAGGTGATGTACTACGATACCTATCCTTGGTCAGCGGCGTCCGATGGGATACGATGGGGTTGCCTACAAATTCTCGCATTGCAGCTAAGCGTTGCTCGAGCACCTTGAGCTTGTGCCGCCCCCTTTCGACCTGGGAAAGAGATACGGTTCAGAGGGTTCTAATTAGCTACGAATACTTGTCGCTATCAACTTCCAACCTTTAGAACCTTGTCAGACAAGTGAACCAGTGACGGAGACGACGGGGAAAACTACGGCGAGGGTGGCTAGGGCGGAGTAAGCGATCAACAAGCCAATTAGACGAGGGAGAACAGAAGAATAGTTAAGGGAGCACGCATACAGCCAAATGAAGCTCTAAGATAAATCACCTATTTATAAAAAAAAGGAACCATAAAAGAATATTTGAAGCAGATAAATTCGAAATCATGATACCAATTTTTTTAAATAACGACCTAAACTGATGCGCAATTAAAATTCAAGTGAAATGAAATTGCCCGGACCGAAATCGAGCAAATACAAGCAAATAAATACGGCTGCAAGTACATGAAGTGCTCAAGTACGTACACTTATACCATAACCAATTATACACATGTATGA